GGGCTGCCTGGTTTCTCTGGTGTTGTGGAGGATGTGGCAGGGACATTGCATGCCTTCCTTCCTCTCCATGCCCATGGTCTCCAAGCTAAGCTTTGTGGCTCCTATCCCACAAAAAAGATGATTTTCCATCATTTTTCCTCCCTTGTTTGTCTGTCCTGTGAGGTGATGGCACATAGAGAATGAGCAGAGGGTCAGTGGTGGCCTCAGAGTCAGGAGGAGACCCAAGCTGGAGCACAAATTCCAGCACCAAGGTTCCCTCTCTTCTTCAGGAAGGAGTTGGGGACAGTACAGGGGATCTGGATGTAGATGTGGGCTGGTGGAGGATGAATAGTGGGCTCCTAATGACATCTGAGCATCTCTGTTGGCCTGGCTAAAAATGGGAATTAAATTCCTGCTAAATAATTACCAGAAAATTCCTGGTAAAGGGAATGAATGAACATGAACTTATGGGCAGTGTTATTGTGCCTGGGCCTGTCTGCTTAGCTCCATGTTCCTCTTGCTGTGAGGACCTCCTAAATCAACCTGTTTTCAACCTGAGTGCCTCTCACCTCCTTTTAAGGACTAACACCACAGGGAGCCCTTCCTCACCTGGGGGGAGAGCAAGGCTGCATCTCCTCTGCCTTGTTTATGAGAAATAATCTCTGGTGGTGGCTTTCTTGTGTGAAAGCCCAGCTTTGGAGGGCCCCTGGGGCCACTTTGTAGAGTGACAGTGACCCACTGCTCCCCCCTGCCCTTCATCTCTCACACCTTTAATTGCACTTGTGTTTCTGGGGCGGATGGAATTCATTATCCAGCAAACAATGTCCTTTGCAATATCAGCCTTAATTAACTGCTCCCCTCTGTATTTTTTTCTGCTCTTATCCTCTCCAAATCTCTGTGCTGAGCCAGGCTGACGGCCCCCCACATGCATCAGTGCCAGCCAGTGAGCCATGACCAGATAAGAAGAAATGGAATTCCTTATCTCTTTTTTACAAATACATACACATGCACACACAAACACACAAACCTGGAAAAGGTCAAGGTTACTGGGAAGGGAGAAGGCCCTTCAAGACAACAAAACCCCTTCTCTTTTAAAATCTCCATAGCAACTGGATGGAGCATCATGGGATGTCGAGATGAGAGAGGACTATTCTTCCCCTACAACACTCTTTCCACTTCATTAGACTCTTTATCAAGTATCTCTGCACTGGGCTGAGTGAATTTTTTGTGTTGGGGAGTAGTGCAGAGGACTCAAAAGCATCCTGACCTTTTCAGTGGGACTTTGGGAGTTCCTTGTGGGAGTTGCATCCTCTTCTCCTGCCTTCCTCCCCCACAGCCCCCTTGTCTCTGGTTCACATGACCTTCTCATCAAAAACCCTGTGCCTGGTGAGGTATGAAGGGCTTCTTTAGAGGGAGAAAGGAGCAGGGAAAAAGAAGAGAGGAGTATGAGAATGTCCTTTGCTGGCTCTGGAGGTGTCAAGACCCTGGCTGTCAGAGCTGTGCATCTGCAGGGAAGATTAATGAGTCTGCTTAGAGGAAATCCAAATAAAATAGAGCAGAATAAATACCAAGTGACTGTGTGGGTGATGAGGGGAAGGGTGAGGAGGGAGCAAGGGAGTGTGACAGGGCAGAAGTAGATATTCCTCAGTCTGGTAAGTGTTTGAATTCCCCATGGAGGAGTGAGTTAGCACAGGAAAGGGCTTTGGATTTAATCCTGTTGTCCTCAAGTGCCAGGGCTGTGCATGGGTCTGTGAGAGCCTTTAAAGCACTGGTTGTACTGAGGCACAAACACTGGGTATTTTTATCTCCTTTTTCCTAGGAAAGCATTCACCATGGAGAAGAATTTTGTGTTCAGCTTCTCAACCCTTGGCCTGCGTTGTCTCAAGGTGCTTTGAACTGCTCTGCAGCGGGAGCTCTGGTTGTTCTTAGGAAACATCAGAGCCTGGTTTGTGTTGGGCAGAGGCTTGGAGTGTGGGGAGGAAGGGATTTAAACCTTCCTATGGATCCAAAGCAGGGTGGGCAGCAGGAAAGGGGTTGGGATTGTGCCCCTCTGCCTGCTCAGGTGAGACCCCACCTGCAGAGCTGCCCCAGCCCTGGGGCCCAGCACAGGAAGGAGCTGGAGCTGCTGGAGAGAGCCCAGAGGAGGCACCAGGGTGAGCAGAGGGATGGAGCAGCTCTGCTGGGAGGAAAGGCTGGCACAGCTGGGACTGTTCACCTGGAGAAGCTGTGGGGTGACCTAATGCTGGCTTTCCAGGGCCTGAAGGAGCAAGAAAGATGGAGACAATTTCCTAGGGCCTGGAGTGACAGGACAAGGGGGAATGGCTCCAAACTGACAGAGAGTAGGGTCAGATTAAATACAAGAAAGAAATTCTCCCCTGTGAGAGTGCTGAGGCCCTGGCACAGGGTGCCCAGAGAAGCTGTGGCTGCCCCTGGATCCCTGGGAGTGCTCCAGGCCAGGTTGGATGGGGCTTGGAGCAACCTGGGATAGTGGAAGGTGTCTCTGCCCATGGCAGGTGGATGCAATTGGTTGGTCTGTCAGGTGCCTTCCAAACCAGGCTATCCTGTGATTCCATTATTCAATGGTGGCATCCCACAGGAGAAACTGGACCTTGGAGCTGACCTTCCTGGGGGAACTGTGACTTTACTTTGAAATTGTTGTTGCTTTTTCTTTTAATCCTCAGATTTTCACTTCTTCCAGGGAGCCACGTGTGACAGTCTGCAGGTGAATTTGAGCAGACCTCACACGATGAGCACCCAGCTGAGCATCTCTCCCCACCAGCTCAGGGTCTGCAACTCTGAATGTTTGAATCTACATGAATCAGACAAGGAGAGGGGCTTGTTACCATGGCCAGAATTGATTCAAAAAGTGTTTGTAAAGAGCATTGAGGCTGGACATGCTTGGACTGTGTGCTCCTGAGCTGTAAGATTTACATGGGTGTTTTAGGAGAAAAAAACCATAAAAAAAAAGAAAAGAGCTCTGCACTTTCAGTAAAAGTCAGGCTATGAATATCCCAGTCCCATTGCTTCAATCCTCATGGGAGTAATTTTCAAGAGGGAAATCCCATTAAGTCATAAAGAGCTCTTAAGTAGTTCCCTCTGATGAATTTGTGGCACTCTGCAAGTCCCATAATTCCCAATATCCAGATGAGGAAACTGAGGTTAAGTGACTTAGCCAAGGTCATGTAGCAAATCAATAACCACTCCAGCCCCTCTGCTGTTCACTCCATGTGTCTCTGCTGTCAGCAAAGGGATCAATCCTCTCCACCCCAGCCCCAGGGATGGACACCCAGGCTGTGAAATGTTGGATTATCTGGGAAAAAGAGGCCCATCTTCATTGAGAGCTGGGCTGGGGAGCAGCCCTGGGACTCCCACAGGTCCCTGAATGGAGACATCCTCCCATTCCTGCTGCAATTCCCACTGCTGGCACAAACTTCCCATCATGAACTCTGGGGTTTGGGACAGGAGCATCTTTGGTGTGGGGACAGAAAATTGCCTCATGCAAGAGCTGCTGGCTGTGATGAGGGTGAGAGTCTCTGTCAGCCTCTGTGTGTTCTTCTTCTTTCCCACTGCTCAGCTCTCCCCTTCCATGTTTCAACTTCCTCTGCTCATTTCTTGAGCTCGTGGTGGGGGATGTACCAAGAGTTTGGGGGTATTTCAGGAGTGGGGATGTGTGTATTCACTCTAAGCTTGCTTCCTGTGCATGGCTGGTCCCAAGAAAAAGGGGTTTTTTTCCCTAGGATCAGGCAGACCCTAATTCTGGGACTCTTGGGTTACTTATTCCAGTTCACCTGTTTGTTGTCTTCATCAAGGAATCCCAGAGTGGTTTGGGTTGGGAGGGACTGTAAAGCCCATCCAGTTGCATCTCCAGGGACGCCTTCCACTGTCCCAGATTGCTCCAAGCCCTGGCCTTGGGCACTTCCAGGGATCCAGGGGCAGCCACAGCTGCCCTGGGCAGCTTTTGCCAGGGCCTCAGCATCCTCACAGGGAAGGATTTCTCCTGTCTATCCAATCTAAATCTGTTGTCTCTTCACTTTAAGGCCATTACCCCTTTATCCCTTGTTCCCAGCCCTCAGGAGTCACACAGGAATGGGAGATGCTGGATGAAGGCATCTTCCACTTCCCAAGCAGGTGTTTCTCCCCTGACACTGCCTTGCTTCCCTGTTCTTCTCCTCCAGCTTTCCTACAGCTAATTCAGAGCTATTTGAATTCCTGGTCCTGCTCTTGCTGCTGCTTGGCTGTCAGGCTCTGCTCCCCTCCCAGGTAAAAGGGTCAAAAGCACAACTGGAATTTTGGGGTTCACCCACTGACACCTGGCATCCCTGTGCTGCCTGGAGTGCATCCCACATCCCTGCTGGATGCTTCCCCCAGAGGCTGGGCCTGACAGGTTCATGAGAAGTTGTTCTCCATGCTAGACTCCTTCCTGCTTTGCTGTAAGGTCCCTGAATGGTGACATGTGCTCTATTTATGTCTCCTCCTTCCTCCTGATCAGCACTTCTCCAGGTGTTTGGCACTTGCCAGAGCTCTGGCATCCCTAATCCTGCTCAGCTTAACCTGCAGGAAAGGTGCTTTTGGGAATATTGCAGGTGGGATGGTCAGGAGGAAGGTCAGCACCCCCCTGCACCATCTCTCATGGATTTACAGCTCCTCCAGGAATGCCCTGACCTAATGCAGAGCCTGCTCTGTGTCACAGCCCTGGTGCAGAGCTGGCACTGCCTTTCCCAGCATGGCTGGCACTGGGATGATGAATGGGAGCTCCTGCAGGGCAGAGCTTGGTCCTGCAGCTCCTGGAGGCTCTCCAAGCCTGGCTTTGCAGTTGGCCAAGTGTTTCACTTGTTTTGATGCTTTTCATGTCTTTGGGCAGCTTGCTGTGTTTATTTTGGGGGGAAGGTCAGCAGTCCCAGCTGATGCTGGGAGAATGCTCTGGGGGAGAAGCATCCCTGGAGCCAGCCCTCCTTTCAGCAGCACATGGCAAAGCTCTGAGCCTTCCCTTTCAGTGGGAGGCACAGGAGATATTTTGGACTGCAAGCTGTGGCTTTAAAAAAACCCACCCAGTAGTGATTTGAGGTTTTCTTCTTGAAGCCTTCCTGACTTTGAACATAAATTGCATCTGTTTTGGTAAGCAGGCTACCAGCAAGCCAGACCTGTTCCTGGGATTACTGTGACCACAGGTATAGCTGTTTGTTTTACATGTGGGATGACTTAGGCCTCTTTTCCCTGCCCTTGTGTGCTTGGATTTTACCTTCCTGCACGTCGTGGCATTTTGGAAAAAGCTGCTTGTTTTACAGAGCAGCTGTGTTGTCTTAATGCAGCTGCAACGTGTGTTTGTCTCGGGGCACAGCAGGACTAGGCAGAGGTTTTATTAGATCATTCCAAGTCCCAATAATCCCTGAGTCTCTCAGATCTGTGGCTGTCAGCTGTGCTGCTCTTGCTCCGTGGGACGGGGCTGGAAGCTGAAGATGGGAAATCTCTTGTGTGTGATCCTTTATCTGCTTCATCTCACAGCTACTTCTGCCCTCCTGGCTGTTTGTGGCAGCCAGAGAGCACCTGATTCTTGTATCCCAGACCTTAAACCACAGCCTGGCAGCCTCCAAGGGATCCTCCCTGCTTGGGGTGCTGTTTGTGGGACTGCTGGTGGCTCTGGATCCCAAGGGGCGTTCCCATCCCATCACCACCGGCTGCCAGCATCGGGATCACGGTAAGGCTGCTGCTCCCTGCCCCCAGAGTGTGTTCTGTGTGTGTCCTGCTGCCAGAGCTGGGCTTTGCTGCCTGCTTTTCCTCTTCCCAGTTAGAGTCTCCTGGGTGCCCTGTGTTTGGATGTGCGCTCTCTGACTGGGGTGAATTCCCTCGGTGCTGGCAAATGTTTTATTTCATTGCTGCACTCCCCTGCCTTGCACCTCATCCTGTGATGGGCACATTGCTGGATCAGAGATATCTTGTTGCTCTCAGAATGGTTTCCTTTTCCTGCAGTGCATTCCCAGTGTGTATTGCTACTGTCACATTTTGCTGTACTGCTCTCCTCTCACCCAGTGCTGGCTGCAGTGTGCTTGAGAGACATCCCACTCCTTAAACACCATTTGAGGTTTTCTCTGGCAGAGATAATGTGGGGATCATGCAGGTCACTCCCTCGTTTAATTCCCGGTGTTTATCAGCTGTAAATTCACCTCCTGCAGCTTTTGCTCCACGGCTCCATGAATGAACTTTTATTTTAGGCTTGCGTAGCATCTCCTGTGCTGACTGTACCCCTTGTATTCCAGTCTGTGCTTTTCCTTGGCATACAGCTTAGAACTCCCATTGTCCTCATGCTGTTGTGACTGGTGGAGTCCTTTTAATTTGTCTGTATTTTGCTGCATCTTTGTTTCCTTCCTCTCAGAGCATCAGGGAGGTCTTTGTTGTCCAGCACGATCACGGCTGCTATGTGTCACCATGCCTCTGCTTGCTTGTTTGGGAGTTGCTGGTTTCCTAAAACTCAGCCTGGAAAGGGATGCAAATCACATCCTTGGGCTGCTCTGATCCATGTTCTCACTAAATGTGCATTGCTGTGTTGTCCCAGCAGCTTCTTGTCCCTTTGTTTGGCTGCTTTTAACAATTCTTATAGAGTTTAGGGGAATACACAGGGGTTTTTTCCTTCCTCAGTTCTTTCATACAATTCTCTATTCAGGGAATTTCCTGCTGCTTTTTACTTAATTGTGGTTTTTTTTTCTGTTGTTCCCAAAGGCCACCCAGGGAGTTGGACATCACGGAGCTGGACACACACCAGGGTAGGTAATGGATGTGACCCCCAAAATTGGAAAAGCCACCATGGAAAATATGACTCAACCTAAAGGCTCTGGGCTAGAGGAGGGAGACTTCCCCAATCAGGGGCAAACCAGGCAAGCTGTATTTTCTGATTCACCCCACAGAGCTGCTCCTGGCCTGGTTTGGAGCAGTGTCCTGCGTTTTGTTTCTCCCTCTGTGCCAGCTCATGTCTTTGCTCTCACATAGGATCTTGAGTGCTTTCCCTGAGCCAGCTTTGCTCAGCTCAGACTTCAGCAGATCCTGCATCTTGGTGGCATTTCCTGGGGCTTTGGCATCTTTTGTGCCTGGAGCAGGCAAAGCAAAGGGTCCTTCTGTGCAGCTTTGCTCCCCGTGGTGCCTCATTGTGCTGTTCGGCAGTGGGAAGGAGCATTTTGCCTCAAGTCTGCAGGGACACAGAGGGACACCTTTAGTATTTGATGTTCCTGTGGGTCAGAAATGTCTTTGTGGAGGGTGTCAGGGGGTTTTCCTCAGCTTGCTGCTGCTGTGCTGCTCTTGGAACAGGCGCAGGCTTTCTCCAGCAGTGTTTCAGCTCTTTGTTCTCTCCCTTATCCAGCCCCTCGGGTAATTGCCCAGTTTCCCCACAGTGAGCTAAAGAGCCTCCTATTGCTGAGCACAGCCCCTTTCATTGCTGCTGCTCAGGGCCAGGCTTTGGGATTCAGCCCCAGCCGTGCCTCCCCCTGTTCCTTTGGGTTTCTTCCTTGCCACGTTCACACCTTTCCACTTTCATGTACCTGCAGGAGCCGACTCGCTTCTGACACCGAGCTCAGTCTCCAAACATAAAAGAAGAGAAAGTCAGGACAGAAAAGCATTGGAGCTTTCTTCTTCCTCCACACCTGCTGTTCCTGGTCGTCAGGCACTTCCAAAGAGGAGAGTTCTCCAAGTTCCCAGTCATTACCCTTTACATAAGCATAATATAGTGCTGCACTTCCTACAGGGAAGCTATCTATTGTAGCAATCTGTAAAACAAAAGCTGGATTGCTCCTTCTCCCATTGCTCCCAGAATCAAAAAGCTGCCTGCTGTTCCTCAAATGGGAAGGCTGAAAGCCTTCATCAGAGGGTAGTTCATTTTTACACGACATTTTTACACTCAAGCAAAACTGAAAGCAAGGCATAATTTGAAACAGCCATGCTCGCCGTTAGAGCAGAACCACACAAATAAAATGCCTGGGATGATGGAGTTGAATATGTTGCAGTCAGAAAAATGACAGCTTGCAGGGAACGAGGAAAACTAGATGGATGAATGGGAATTAGTGAGGAGCAGACTTCCAAGGCAGACAAATCAAATTGAGAGCGTGGATCATTAGATTCAAAGGAAGCAGGTAAGGAGTGCACTAAATTGTACCTTAAACAACAAACCGTGGGCCCCAGCCTCCAGGGAGAGGGGATGGAACAGGGCTGGGGATATGGGAGTGGCTCCCAGGTGTGTCCTGGCCACTGGCATTGTGACCTCACCCAGGTCACTGTGTCCTTCACATCAGCTCCTGTGCTGTGGGGCATGGCAGGCACTGGACATAGAGGATGCTTTGAAGATCTGCAGATGTGCCCAGCTCCAGAGGAGACAGCTGAAGCCTTTCTGGATGGCCTGTCCTGTCACCTGTCACCTTTCAGGGCTGTCACTGATATCCATTGTATGGAGCTGGCTCTTTGCCTGTTTTTTTTTTTTTTTTCCCAGAAAAAAAAAGGTGAAGAGATATACAAAGGGAGAAATTACTGTGTTGTTGAATTTTTCAAAATTAACTGTGCACAATTATACCCAAGGAAGTGGGCTGGAAGAAAGACACTTCACATACAGCAGCTCTTTGCAGATGTGAGAAAATGTGGCATGGTTTGGACCTGCCAGGAAACAGCTGAGCTGGGGGAATTTGTGTATTTTAAAAATAAAGCTCATGCTTTTCTTGGACAAACTTTCAGGTCACTGTAACACAGAACCGAAGGTCACAATTTCTAAGAAGATTATGAAATGCCCCAGATGCTCAGTGTGACAGTCTAGACAAGGCAGCCAAGGGAGAAATGCTGAAGGAAGTTCCTGGGATTGGTACAGGAAAGGAGAGCCCGCAGGATGGAAAACTCCACACAGAGCTTCCCTTGGTGCTCCTGCCTGGACACTCTGCAGAGACTGGTCCCAGCTGAGTCCTGCTCAAGGATAAAACTCATGGTCACAGGGGAACTACTCCCATTGGAATCCCATCTGGCTGATTCCTCCATTTCAGCTGAGGTGGAAGTGTCACTGGATCTCACAGAGATGTGTGAATGGAATGATAAGGAAAGCTCTCCAGCAGGAGCTGAAAAGCACCACCCTTGCTGGGAGTATAAGCCAACAGATGCTTTACAAAAGCAAAAGTGATCTGATCATTCCCACAAGAACCATAGAATCATAAAACTGTGGAATGGTTTGGGTTGGAAGGAACCTTAAAGCCCATCCAGTCCCACCCCTGCCATGGGCAGGAACACCTTCCACTGTCCCAGGCTGCTCCAAATCCTGTCCCAGCTGGCCTTGGGCACTTTCAGAGATGGGGCAGCCACAGCTTCTCTGGGCACCCTGTGCCAGGGCCATTTTATAAACCTGATATTAGTGCTGTGTAATTGAGGGAAAGGCATCCTCTGCTGTTCCAGGTTATCCATTGTTATCCCAGGTTTAGCTGCTTGAAGCTCTTACTGAGCTGCCCTGATCTGAACATGGCAGTTGTGAGGATTCTTCTCCCCTTCGTGTCCTAATTAATAGTCTATTTTATCAAAGGCTTTATTGTTGAAGATGTTCAGCATGTCCAGAGCTTTCCCATCCCCTTGGCAGCCTCCCACATTTCGCCCTGCCATCAATCCCATCCTAATTCGCTTGCCATGCAAGGTGCTCCCCTGCTGGTTTAGTTGGCCAGCCTGGGATGTGGTTCCTTCCAGCAGCTCTTAAGAAAACCCTTGCACATCTTTTCCTTCATTTTATCCTCTTTTTCCTTTTAGCTCTGGTTGTTTGCAGCAGGCTCTGGCAGCTGTAAATGTTAGTTAAAGCCTTATTGATGCCCGGTGCTTTCCAGCCGCCTGGTGCAGCAGTTTATTTGGGTCTCTGGTGATGTTTAGAGATGCATTTCCTCTCATCTCTCCCAGCTATATTTTACTGTTTGCTCATTTGCTTGATGACAGTTTGCTGCTGGGTTTTGGAAGAGCTTTGCAGTGCATTATCTTGTGAGTTAATCCTGACCTGTTTCCTTGGCTCCTGCAGCTGCCCTGGCACGTCCTGAGCCGGACGCTGCCGCTGTCAGGAATTTTCTGCCAGGTCTTTGCTGTCAATATTTTTGGCCATTGCTCTGTGTCAGTCATGTCTGGATTAAGCTCCCCTGTGATATCCTGAGGGCGAGATGAGCTGTGTCACTGCACAGGGGATCAGCCTTTGTGCTGTTGGGGAGGTTCCTGAGGGTTGGAGAAGCTCCAACCCACGGGGTCTGTCTGGGATGGTTCTTGCTACGAATCTACGTTCTATGATTCTTGAGCTGTCCTAGGAGACTGCTTCACCTTTTTCAGGATGATTTAAGAGGATGTGCTGTTCAGGATTCCCACTCGAGTGTTATTTATTAGTTTTGTAGTGTCTTCCAGGCTGCTTTCTTCAGGCTAGTGTTGATTCCTTGGGGACAAAGGAAACAAAGGCAGGAGAACGCTCGCAGGAGGGATAAAACAGGAGTCTGACTGATATCTTCTCTCTCTTTCTCCATGGTGTTTTTTCACAGATCAAAAATCAATTAAGGGCGAATTTCACTGGGAACTCTTTAAACAATGTGATATTTCATTAGAGATTATTGCAGGCTCTTTAACATTTGCAGTCCAGGTGTGAATTACAAAATTAGCCAGATTCCTTTAATGATTTCCTCCGAGGTAACATTCCTCCAAGCACCCTGTGCCTGGAGCAAGCTGTGCAGCTGCTGCTGGAGAAGGGGTGTTTATTGCCTCCCCCCACGTCCTGATGGAGACACAGGACTGGAGGAATGGTTTTGATTGAGACAGCAGCCTGGCTGGGCACAGGGCTGTGGCCTGGAAGATGAAAAATGAAGGAAATAAGAGTGGAATGCTGTAAGAGAGGTAGAGAGGAGCTTGGAGATGAGCAGATTTGGAGTTTTTTTTCTCCAATCCCTTCTTGAGCTGTTACCAGCACAAGCTTGTGCCTTTTTGAGACTTCCCTATGGCTTTCCAGGTCCTTCCCTTGCTCCTGGATCTGTCCCTGCTGCCATCTGAACCCCACAGCACAGAGACAGAAGCGCTCTGGAGGTGCCAGTGAGCTTTCACTGCCATCTGGATTTCTTGGGACACAGCACTCCTTCAAACCCTTCCCCTCCTGAAGGCACAAAGAGCTGAGCAGTCTGAGTCCTCTGCTCCAGTGCAACTCCCTCTCCATCATTAATCCTGCCTGGAACTTGCCCTTTTCAGTGCCCATTCCCTCCCTCGTCCATCTTGCCTTATTCACAGCCCAGTTATTGATCCTTATTTGGGGCTCATCTGTCTTAGTGAGCTCGGGGAGCCACCCCTGGCAGGGAGAGGAGCACCTTTCATTGCTTTCAGGGTGCTGTGGTTGGGTGGGAGGTAAATGGGTGAGATTTGGGATGCACCACTGCAGGTTTGATCCCGTGGTTGCATTTCCTGAGTGCTGACTGCTCTCCCCACCTGAGCACCTGCTCTTCTTGGAGGTGCTGCTTTTCCCTGCAAAATTTTCCTTTCCTCTTCTCCTAAAACCATCTGAGCTGCTGCAACAGCCCCACTACAGCAGCTCAGCCTCTCCTCCCTCTCCCTTGAAGTCAGCAGGACCAGGATTGGTCCTCAGGGCTCCTGTAGAACCACGTACATCTGTGTTTGTCCCACTCTGCCTCCCTTTTCCCATTTCTTGTCCCCTCACCACAGTTCTGCCTGCATTCTTCTCTCTCTGCACAGCTCTGCCCTGCCCCAGGAGATGATGGAAGGTTCCTTTGCTCACTGCAGTGAGGAAAGGCAGCTGATAAAACCCCACCACCCTCTGCACTGACCATAATTGCTTTCCTGGAGAACAGGGGGGAGAGGCAAACAGTTCTGATACTTTCCTTGAATACTCTCTTGGGCCCTAATTATTTTCAGCTTAGGATATTTTCTGTGTCAGGGAAGACTCATCTGTCTAATAATCCTTGCTGGATTTCGCTTCCAAGTATTTACCCAGCCCTGCCTTGAGCCACATAAACTTTCCAACCCCCTTTCCTCATAGCCATCTTCCCTGATTTGCTGTGGATCCCCTGGATTGCTTCCTTCTCCTTGTTCTGGGGCTGGACCAGGTGGTTAAGGAGCAATTGTGCACCTGAAGGGAGGTTGTGGCAAGGTGAGGTCAGGCTCTGCTCCCAGGCAGTGACAGGAAAAGAGGAAATGGCCTTGAGCTGTGCCAGGTTGGACACCAGGAGGAATTTCTTCATGGAAAAGGTTGTTAAACATTGGGAGAGGCTGCCCAGGGAGGTTTGGAGTCCCCATCCCTGGAGATGTCCAAGGAACCCCTGGATGTGGCACTCAGAGCTCTGGGCTGGTGACAAGGTGGGGATTGATCACAGCTTGGCCTCAATGGTCTTGGAGGACTTTTCCAACCTCAATGATCCTGGGATTCTGTGATCCTCCCACACTCCTCCAGTGACTCAAGATTTTTGAATCCCCTTCTCCTGCCTCTTTTCTAGGCTGCAGCATCCCAACCCATTGGGTTGCTCTTCATGGAAAAGCGTTTCCAGACCTTGTATAATTCCTGCTGTCCTTCCAGGAACCTTTCCTTCTGAATTCCTCCTGCTTTGCACTGCTGGAGCCATGCAGGGACACATCCACATAGCTCACCTGCAGAGTTTTGGGGTACTTTGTGTTGCTTGAAGGAGCTGCATGTTTTGGAGGAGCTGGCCCTTACTTGTGAAGGTTTTTATTACATGAACCTTTTCAGCAAAATGCCCTTTGTTATGAATCCTGAAAGAGAACTCTCTGCAGCTTCCAATTACAATCCTGGCTGCGTCTTACTTGAATGGTGTTTACTATTTAGGGTGCATTTGAAAATGCATTTTGGGAGGCATCTTTCAATTCATTTGTAGTGGCTAACATTATCCCTAATGCTGGAGGAAATTAAAAAATGCTTCCTGCTTAGAGGCAATGAGTTGAAATGAAAATGTGCTGTGTGCTGGTCCATGGCAACATCGCTGAAATGTCTGGATGTGGTGCCAGGTGCTGCTCTGAGAGTTCAGCTGTGCCCAGAATGACCTGGAGTATCTTTGGTGGCCTTTGATGGCAGAGCTGGGTGACCAAGCTGGGTCTGCTCTGGGGGAATCTGCTGAAGCTGCTCAGTGCATCCAGTGTTTACACAGATAATTTAGTTCAGATGGGCTGGTGGGGTCATGTGGGCACAGCTGTGTGCCCTGAGTGCAAGAGAGACACTGAGGGGCTGGAGCATGGCCAGGGCAGGGAACAGAGCTGGGGAAGGGAATGGAGCACCAGGAGAGGCTGAGGGAGCTGGAAAGGGGCTCAGCCTGGAGAAAAGGAGGTTCAGGGGGGATTTTGTGGCTCTGCACAACTCCTGACAGGAGGGGACAGCTGGGGGTGGTCGGGCTCTGCTCCCAGGGAACAGGGACAGGAGGAGAGGAAACTGCCTCAGGCTGTGCCAGGGGAGGTTCAGGTTGGACATCATAAGGAATTTTTCCATGGAAAGGGTGGGCAGGCCTTGGCAGGGGCTGCCCAGGAAGGTTTGGAGTCCCCATCCCTGGAGGTGTCCAAGGAATGTCTGGATGTTGCACTCAGTACTCAAGGCTGGGTGACAAAGTGGGGATTGGACACAGGTTGGACTCAATGGTCTTGGAGGGCTTTTCCAACCTTTATAATTCCATGATGTGCCATTTGTTCTCTTCACTGCTTGGAAGTCCAACAAAGTGCGAGGGGTAAAAGCTCAGGAGGGTTTGGTTTGGGGAGCTGTGGTTTCATGAAATCTCTGGTTAACCCTGTCAGGAGCACTGGCTTCAGATCAGCTGCTGGAATGCTGTTCCACCTCTGCTGAATTACCCAGATCTCATGGAACACTTTACATTGGCTGAGGGAGAGGAGTCAGCCCAACACAAAACCTGTCCTGATGTGGTCTGAGCAGGTTTGGGCCAGCAGTGAGAGCCTGAACTGGGCCAGTGTGTTATGTCCCCTATGAGGGGCACTGGGACAGGACTGACAATTCCATCCATGATGCCTGAGAGTGTTTCTGTGCCTGTGTTCGTATTTTCACCTTCCTGAAGGGAACGTGCACAAGTAGATAAAAACCTGCTCTAGTGGATTCCAGCATTAAGTCAAGAGACTATTGGATTTTTTCAAGGGCTCACACAACTCTCCTAAAAAGCAGGTTGTTATGTGTTAGTTTGGAGCCCTTTTGTTCAGCCTCAGGTGTTTTCATTCCTTCAAGGTATTTACTGAAAGGACAAGAAGAAAAT